GAACCAGGGGGGCACCTAAACCTGCGGCGCACATAAACCTGGGGCGTACATACACCTGGGGCATACATACACCTGGGGCGTACGTAAACCTGGGGTGCACATACACCTGGGGCGCACATACACCTGGGGCGCACATACACCTGGGGCGTACATACACCTGGGGCATACGTACACCTGGGGCGCACGTACACCTGGGGCGTACATACACCTGGGGCGCACATACACCTGGAGCGCACATACACCTGGGGTGCTCTGCTCTTTGGCCTTTTCTTGCTCCTCTCTTGGTCAGAAAAGCCCTGGCAGCCCCCACCTTCGGAGCCCTCAAGGCAGCATTGGTGCCACCCGATTGCTGGGGAAAGCGTTACACTGGGCTTCCAGGCACCAGCCCCGACTGCCTGCAGCAGCCCGCCTGCCCTGTGCCCACAGCCCCCCGGGAATGTGAGGAAGACGAGTTCCCCTGCCAGAATGGCTACTGCATCCGGAGCCTGTGGCACTGCGATGGTGACAATGACTGTGGAGACAACAGCGATGAGCAGTGCGGTGAGTGGGGCTCTGGGGAGGCAGACAGGATACTTGGGGGTGGCCTGGCTGCGGGAGGAGGCAGGCAGGAGGGGCAGAGCTCCAGACTGCTGAGAACTATGGCTCAGGAGCCGGAGCCCATTTTCCCGCAGGCCTTGGTTTTCCCAGAGCATCTGCACCCAACCGGTGGTGCCTGTCGGGGGGGCCGAGGAGGGAAGTGGGGTGCTTGTGGGGCTGCCTTGGGACTGCTGTTCCTTTGCATCCCTGCAGACATGCGGAAGTGCTCCGACAAGGAATTCCGCTGCAGTGATGGGAGCTGCATTGCTGAGCACTGGTACTGCGATGGCGACACCGACTGCAAAGACGGCTCTGACGAGGAGAGCTGTCGTGAGTACCCCAGACCTCAGGCTGCTGGGCCGAGGCTCCACCCCACTGGCTATGGGACCGAGGAGTGCATGTGTAGTGGGAAGGAGGGGAGAGGTTCTTAAGAAGCAGCCCTTGGGGCCCAAATCGTAGCGCAGTGGTAAAAAGCAGCCCTGCCACGCTGACCCACGTGGGAAAGTTCTAGGTTCACATTTGGAAACCTCCCTGCACCTGCCTGGCACATGCATGCCCATGATCCAGGCCTGGCTAAAGCCAGGGCTGAGCTGTGGCATCAGGACCCTGTTGGGGGTGCTGTCTTTCTGTCCCTATCTTTCTTGCTCAAGAAAGAAATAAATAAATCGGCAGGTGGTGTGGTAGTTAAAAGAGCTGGACTCCCATATAGTTGACTGTGGTTCAAGTCTCGGACCTAGTGAATTGTTTTCTCACTCTCTCTTTCGCTCTCTCTGTCTCTGGACAAATAGAAGAAGAACAAATAAAAAGTTAATAATAAATAATAAATTAATAATTAATCATTCTTAAGGGGTCCAGCAGTTAGTGTAATGGCCATGTCGCTGGACTCCCACGTAGTCGACTGCAGTTCAGGTCCCGGACCCAGTGGCTTAAAACTCACGCCGGGCGCGTGTGTGTGCGTGCCCAAGATCCTGAGAAGAGGATGGAGAAGGGATTGTGGTGTGGCCATCCCCCTGGATGGGGGCGGGGGGTGATTTCTCCCTTTCTGTCTCTCTGTCTCTCTCTTTCTGGCGAGCACTCACACCCTATAGCAAAAACCTCTCCAAAAAAAATATTAATAGTTCTTTATAAAAAAGAAACTTAAAAAGGAAAGAGGAAAGGACTCTTCCTAGGCTGAGTGAGGCTGGGAGCAGGTTCTGCAGGTAGGAGGGGACGGGCTCCTTGATCGACCTGAGTATGGGAGTCTGAAAGGCTATCCCAGCTGAGACCCAGGTATATGGCACTCGAGGAAGGCACCCTGCCCAAGCGTCTCACGCCCGGGAGGAGGGAGGGCCTCGCCTCTGCCCAGTCCTGAGTGTTTGCCCGCCCGTCGCTGCCTGCCTTCCAGCTTCAGCCGTGCCAGCACCCCCTTGCAACTTGGAGGAGTTCCAGTGCGCCTATGGCCGCTGCATCCTGGACATCTACCACTGTGACGGCGATGACGACTGCGGAGACTGGTCCGACGAGTCTGACTGCTGTGAGCCCCGCCCACCCACACCCGGGAGGTGGGAGGTGGGGACGGAGGCCCCAGTGCCAGCTGGGCAGGAGCTCAGGGGAGGTCTTTCTTGGGCCGAGAGGGGGGAGCTGGGGTATGGGTCTGTGGGACACTGTGTGCACAGACTGGATAGGGACAGAGGTCTGTGGTGCGTCCCCAGCCTCCCACCAGCCCTGCCGCTCTGGGGAGTTCATGTGTGACAGTGGCCTGTGCATCAACGCGGGCTGGCGCTGCGATGGTGACGCGGACTGTGACGACCAGTCGGATGAGCGCAACTGCAGTGAGTGGGGAAAGCCACCGTGGCTGGGCTGGGCCTAGGAGAGGGGCTGCAGAGCCAAGCAGGCCACTGCCGAGATCGAGCGTACGGACGTAGCGGCCAGGACTGCCAGGTATAACCGTGCCTGGGGCGCCTCACGGAGGCAGTCCGTGCAGACGCCGCCGGTCACAGAACAGACGTCAGAGTACTACTCCTGGCAGTTCCCCAGCAGGCGGTAATGACGCGTCTTGAAGAGAGGGCACCTTTTTCTGATTCCCATAAAGGTGTCATATAGGGCTCACCAGGTGGCATGGTAGTTAAGGCAGCTGGATCCCACATAGTAGAGTGTGCGGCTCAAGTCTTGGACCTGGCAGCTTGAAAAACACACCAGGCATGTGTGCATGCATGCCCCATCAAAATAAAAAATACAAAAACTTTTTAAATAATGAAAAAGTAAGATAAAAGATGTCCCGTGGGCCAGCTGAGACACTGGTGTTGAGATGAATGGCATGGGTGTGACGAAAAGCACAGCCTCGGGTGGCAGGGCAGGGTTTCCAGCGGAATAGGCCCAGCTTCTCAGGAGCTTGCTCTGTCCAGCCACCTCGATGTGCACCGCGGAGCAGTTCCGATGCCGCTCGGGCCGCTGCGTCCGCCTCTCCTGGCGCTGTGATGGGGAGGACGACTGTGCAGACAACAGCGATGAAGAGAACTGTGAGAACACAGGTGGGGCGTCTCCCAGGGGGACCCAGATCCCTGAGCGCAGAGCTGAGGTGGGGGACAGGAGTGGCAAGAGGGCCTTACAGCCTTTCCAGTTAGGCCAAGGCGAAGCCTTTTCAGCTCTTTCCCACAGCCTGGGGGTTTCCTGCCCTTCCTGGTTATCCGCGTCCAGTCCAGGTGCATGGCGGACCTGCAGGCCCACGGCCTGGAGCATGATACCGGGGCTCGGAGGGCCATTTTGCTCTGGCCTCGTGAGGGACCACTCTTCTGAGGTTCCCCTGCCCACTCCCCTGGCCAGACCCGCTACTGGGCATGTGGATGCACTTTTTATTCTGCCTCACATCCCGCTGTGGTAACCTGGGGAAGAAACGAATGCAGACGTACAGCCAGCCTGTCTGAGCTGTTTCCTGCCTTAGACCCCGACCCTCCCACCTTGAGTTTCATCCGTCTCCAGCTTGCCCTAGAAAATGACAGGCTCCCGTCCCTTTGTGGGCCCAAGCCCTGCCCTGCTGTGACCTGCCTCTCCCTCCCTCTCCCTCCGTCTCTCTAGGAAGCCCCCAGTGTGCTTCAGACCAGTTCCTGTGTTGGAATGGGCGCTGCATTGGACAACGGAAACTGTGCAACGGGGTCAACGACTGTGGCGACAACAGCGACGAGAGCCCACAGCAGAACTGCCGTGAGTGTCCCCAGTGGGCGGGTCTGGCCCGTGGTTTGTGGTTGAACCCCACCCATAGGGTTCAAAGGGAATCCTCCCTGGGGACTCTTGCAGCCTGGTAGCTGTTCTTCGTGGTCCAGGTAGAATGCCAAGTTGGCTGTCTGGGGGAGGATTCTGGGCTCCACTCCCAGCTCCGGCTTGGCTGGCACAGGGCCCCGGACGGGCGAGGAGAACTGCAATGTTAACAACGGTGGCTGCGCTCAGAAGTGCCAGATGGTGCGGGGAGCAGTGCAGTGTACCTGCCACACGGGCTACCGGCTCACGGAGGATGGGCACACATGCCAGGGTGAGCTGGGGCCTGGTTAGCAGCAGGGTCAGGAGGCTGGGCAGGGGCAGCAGGCTGGCAGCCGTTCTGTCTGGGACGCCATTGAATGGACAGGACCTCACTGCATCACACAGCCCTAAGAAGTTGGGCTCATGCCTCCCATTTCACAGACAGGAAGGGCGAAGCTCAGAGAAGTTAAGTCACTTAGAGCTGGCGAATAGCAGGTTCGGGATTCCAGCCCAGTCCTGCGTGACCTTGGGGTCCTTCACTGCTTGTTTACGCAGACTTCCCACAGGCCTGGAGGGTCAATGGGTCTGGGGCAGGAAGGCAGCTAGTGAACCTGGGAGGTGGGACGAGAGGTGGGCAGAAGGGAGAGCTGCTCACGCTGCCCGGTGTCCACAGATGTGAATGAGTGTGCAGAGGAGGGGTATTGCAGCCAGGGCTGCACCAACAGTGAAGGAGCTTTCCAGTGCTGGTGTGAAGCAGGCTATGAACTGCGGCCCGACCGGCGCAGCTGCAAGGCTCTGGGTAAGGGTCGGGCACTGGGCTGGGTGGGCAGATGGCCGAGCAGGGAGCAAGGCCAGGCACTCTGGAACTCAGGGATTCGCTGAGGTAGACAGAGCCATCATTGTAGAAGTGAGTTGGGAGCTGCATTCTGAACCCCAAGAAAAGCACTACTGGGGCGGGCAGGAGAGTAGGGTTTGGAGGTTTCCACTTTCTAGTCCTGAGGCTGACAGTTAGGGGCATGCCCTAGCGAGCAGGGGGCTCCATGTGTTGACTGGGGGTACACCACAGGCAGCTCTGAAGCCCAGTGGGGACCCCGTTTCTGTGCCGTGTCCCAGGGCCGGAGCCTGTGCTACTGTTCGCCAATCGCATTGACATCCGGCAGGTGCTGCCGCACCGCTCTGAGTACACGCTCCTGCTCAACAACCTGGAGAACGCCATCGCCCTGGACTTCCATCACCAGCGCGAGCTCGTCTTCTGGTCAGACGTCACCCTGGACCGGATTCTCCGTGCCAACCTCAATGGCAGCAACGTGGAGGAGGTTGTGTCTACTGGGCTGGAGAGCCCAGGTAGGAAACACGGTCCCCAAGGAGGGGCAGGGCCACAGCGTGAGCACAGCCACAGAGGAAGGACCAGGGACCAGGCCAGGGGTTCATACACCTTAACAGCTGAGTATCTTTCACTCCCAGTGAAATATTTTTTGGGGGGAGAGGTTTTTGAGCGCCTGTGCTCACCAGAAAGACAGAGGCAGAGAGACAGAAAATGAGAAATCACTCCCTGGGGGGATGACCATGCTGTGATCCCTTCTCCTCCATTCTCCTCATAAGATCTTGGACACGTGTGCACACGCCCCCGGCGTGAGTTTAAGCCACCAGATCCAGGACTTGATCTGCGGTCGACTACATGGGAGTCCAGCGACATAGCCATTACGCCAACTGCTGGTCCCATCCAGTGAAATCTTGGTGGAACGCTAATGTAGAAAACGTTTATTGGTGTATATCAATTCATAGGTTCAGGCGTAAGGCGCTCATGGTTGAGCTCCACAGTGAGAATAGTGAGACCATTCTGGTGACTGTCATCATTGGACTCAGAGATGCGGAGAGGAGTTAGCGTTCTCTCTGAGCCTTAGCAGCCCGTGTATTTGAGTTTGGCTCTGATTGCTTAGCGTCACAAATATTCTGCTTGACCCAGATAAGTATATCCAAATGAATTACAGGTAGGAGAAACAGCAACAGCTCACTTGGCGACCTCAGGCTGTTGACAAGCAGGTGAAGTGGGTTAGAATGTGCTGTTGGGCACATTTCACGCAAAGGCTTATGGAACTTCCATTAATGCCTCTGCAAAACCCTAGGCATCAGGACCAGCAGTTGGCATTGAATTCCCATGTAGTCGACCACAGTTCGAGTCCCAGACCTGATGGCTTAAACTCACACCGGGCGCGTGTGCGTGCATGTCCAGGATCCTGAGAGGAGAATGGAGGAGAAGGGATTGTGGCGGGGCAACCCCCCCTGGGGGGTGATTTCTCACTTTCTGTCTCTCTGTCTCTGTCTTTCTGGTGAGCGCACACAGGCTATAGCAAAAACCTGTCCAAAAACAAAACAAAACAAAACACAAAAAGCACCTAGGCGGCAACCTGCAGGCCCTGAGTCAGCACAGTGGGGGAGCCTGGGTGTGGGCCACAGAGCCAGAATTCAGTAAGCAGGCTATGGTTGGCTGTGAGGACAAAGTGCAGGCTACTGATAGTTACAGTACAGTGACAATTCCTTGACCTCTCTGAGCCTCAGCTTCCTCATGTCGTGTGGGCTGCAGTACCTGGCTCACACTGTTGTGATGATTAGAGTTCATGGTGTATGTCAGATGGCAAAATAGTGCCTGGCCCAAGAACCCGCTTTGCATAAGAGGTTGCTTTGTTACTAAGGCCCAGAGGAGCCTGCGTGCAACCCCTGACATTGCCACTGCCACTGCCACTTCTCCCCAGGGGGCCTGGCTGTGGACTGGGTCCATGACAAACTCTACTGGACCGACTCGGGGACATCACGGATTGAGGTGGCCAACCTGAATGGAGCCCACAGGAAGGTGCTGCTATGGCAGAACCTTGAGAAGCCCCGGGCCATCGCCCTGCACCCCATGGAAGGGTAAGTTGTATCTCAGGCTCTCGGATCCCTCTTGCAATCTCCAGCGACAGTTCCCAGGCCTCAGGGCCAGACTTTGTGGGGGCATCTTCACATTGTGCTAATAACATGGGTTGAGTCCTGATTCCACAGTGACTGGCCGGGGGCCTTGGACTAGTTCATTCATGTCTTTCTGCCTTCAGTTACTCATTTCTCTTGGGTTATCGGGAGAGTCATGACAGTTTTTGCATAGAAAAATATGTTGTGACTTTCCTGAGAATTTAGTAGATTGGTGGTTAAAAGAAAGACCTATCTCGGGACCAGCAGTTAGCGTAATGGCTATGTTGCTGGACTCCCATGTAGTTGAATGCGGTTCACATCCCGGACCCGGTGGCTTAAAACTCACGCCAGGCGCGTGTATGTGCGTGCCCAGAATCCCAAGAGGAGAATGGAGGAGAAAGGATTGCAGCATGGCCAATCCCCCCTGGGGGGTGATTTCTTGCTTTCTGTCTCTCTGTCCCTCTCTGTCTGTCTGGTAACCGCACGCGCCCTATAGCAAAAACCTCTCCAAAAAAAGAAAAAAAGAAAGACCTATCTCGTAGTTATATGGAGATTAAATGATAGCCCAGGGACCAGGCATTGGTGCAGTGGAAATACAACTGGAGTCCTCTGGGATAGGTCCCGAGTCCACATCCTGAGGCCTTCCTGAACACAGGGCATGCATGCACACGCTTGTGGTCCAGAGCAGCTGAGACTGGGGGAGACTATGGCATGAAGACCCTGTCGGGGTGCCTGTCTCTTGTTCTGTGCCTCTCACAGAAGAAATACATTCAAGGAAAAAAAAAAAATAGATGGCTCAGCCATGGTGGCACCAACAGTAGGCACTGTTTCCTGATACTGGAGCCATATGGGAAGGCCCTGGGTTCAGTTCTTGGGTCTACCTGAGTACCCCGTGCATGTGTGCAGGTATACCGTGATCCTGGCTGGCACTGTGAAATGACAGACCCCTGTGGGGGTCCCTGTCTGTCTATATCTCTCTGAAAAAAAGAAAAAAAAACTTAAAAAAATTAAATGAGATGATGCATCTTAAGAGACATATAGAGGGGGCTGGCAAGTGACATGGTAGTTAAAAGTGTTGAGCTTCCATATGGCCAACTGTGGTTTGAGTCCCAGACCTGGTGGCTTGCTTTCTCTCTCTTTCTCTGGTCAAATTGAATAATAATCATAATAAATAAAATTAAATAAATAATTATTTAAATAAAAAGAGGCATATAGTACATGTTATTTTTTTTTTTTGTTTGGTTGGCTGGATTTATTTTTTTTTTAATATTTTTTATTTAACTTTATTTATTTGTTTGTTTTTTAATTTGACCAGAGAGGGACAGATTGAGAGAGAGAGAGAGGGAGGGAAAGCGAGAAAGCAAACTACCAGATCTGGGACTCAAACCACAGTCGGCCATGTGGGAGTACAACGCCCTTAACAACCATGCCAAAAGAATCATTTTAAGGATCAGAGGGAAAGTCTTCTGACTTAAAAATTCAATGCATGGCCCAGCTGCCTTAGCCACACACTGATTTTCTTTTCATTGCCAGAGGGAATGTGTGCTTGCCAGAGAGGAACCGAGACACACAGAGAGAGAAAGCACCCCCTAGTGGTTCGTGGTTATGCTGCAATCCCTTCTCCATTCCGCCATCAGGAAAGCTTGGGATTTTGGAAACACATGCACATGCGCCGGGTGTCTTTCAAGCTTGCAGGGCTGGGATTCGATACCATAACTAGCTATGTTGGACCTGGCTCCCTTAACCACTAGGCGATGGGGCTGGCCCCATGCCTTGAGTTCTTTTTTAATTTTTGCTATAGGTTGTATGTGTTCACCAGAGAAAGAGAGAGAGAGAGAAAATGAGAAAGCACCTCTCCCACCACCACCAAGAGGGGATGGCCATGCCACAATCCCCTGTTCTCTATTTTCCTCTCAGGATTTAGAGCACACATGCCATGTGTTTTTCAAGGGCATGAACCATGCAGTTGGCCGAGTGGGATCTGGTGGCCTTCACCACCACGTCACTGACTGGCCCTGAATTTTCAATTCATTGGATGAGGCTGGTATTCAGCAGGCAGAGACCCCATGGGAGGCCTGAGTTTGAAAAGCCTGGCCCTAAAAACCTGGTAAGGTGCTGCTAACTTGTACTCCCACTACTTGAGAGGCCAATGCAGGAGGATTGCAACATAGCCAGACCCTGTCTAAAAAATGAAAAGAAACAAACAAAATAAGTCAATAGGGTTAATCAAGGGGGTTTCTTGAAAGATCCTGTTGTGTGTCAGCCATTTTAGAAAAGGTTCTGCACACGTGTGTGTATAACGCACCAAGGCTGTGGCAGAGACCCACAGAGTCACGCCTGTCCTAACTATGAATAGTATTACACTGTGGGTCAGCAGGTGGAGTGCTGGTTAAGGCACTGGACTCCCACATGGTCAACTGCAGTTCGAGTCCCTCACCCAGCAGTTTGAAACTCACACCGAGTGTGTGTGTGTGTGTGTGTGTGTGCGCCCAAAATCCCAAGAGGAAAATAAAGGAGAAGGGATTGTGGTGTGGCCATTCTCCCTGGGGGTGATTTCTCACTTTCCCTCTTTCTGTCTTTATCTCTCTATGGCAAGTGCCTGTACCTTCTAGCAACCCCCCCCCCCAAAAAAAAAAGTAATAAAATAATAATGGTAATATTACACTGTATTGCCAATCCCAGGGGTTTGGGACTTTTGTCTCTTTCATTCACTGCTGTATTTCTGAAGATAGTGCTCTGTGCATAGTGGTTACTCGTGTGTGGGGAGCAGCTAATAAATAAATTAATGCTCCATCCAAAAACAGTTAAATTCAAAACTTAAAAAAAATGTTATTTATTGTTGTTATTTTTTTAATTTAACCAGAGAGAGAGAAAGTGAGAAAGTAAGCCACCTAGTCCAGGACTCAAACCACGGTCAGGCATGCGGGAGTTCAGTACCTTAACTACCACGCCACCTGCCAGACCCAATTTCAGAACTTTAATGAGTGGTCTCCATGACCTTTTGGTTAAAGCAGCTGGATCCCACACGGTTGACCCCACAGTTCGAGTCCTAGACCCAGCAATTGGAGAAACATGCCAGACACATGTGCACGCATGCCCCAACTCCTGAAAGGAGGGAGAAATGGAGGAGAAGGGATTGAAGTTTGACCATCCCCCATGAAAGAGATCCTTTTTCCTCTCCCTGTCTCTGTCACAAGCACATGTTCCCTCTGGCAAAAATGTGTTTTAAATTTAGAAATGTATAAAACATTCTGTGGCCCAGACAGTGGGTGGCCCCCAGGTCCAGTGGATGAAAGCTTCTACCTGATTGCTATCCTGGTTACCTGACTGCCCTCTGCTCCCGCCTCTCAGTTTCCCTCTCTCTTCCTAGAACTATTTACTGGACAGACTGGGGCAACACGCCCCGCATCGAGGCCTCCAGCATGGACGGGTCTGCACGGCGCATCATTGCCGACACCCACCTCTTCTGGCCTAACGGCCTCACCATCGACTATGCCGGGCACCGCATGTACTGGGTGGATGCTAAGCACCATGTCATCGAGAGGGCCAATCTGGATGGGAGTCACCGCAAGGCTGTCATTAGCCAGGGTGAGGCCCTTCTTCCGTTCTCCTTCATCTCTCTTCCTCCTTCCCCGTCCCAGCCCCCAGGAGGCTTGGCAGGAGGGGAGATGTTTGGAGTTGCCAGACCTGGGCCTAGGAGCCATGGCAGGCCATGTCTGGACTGAGGTCTTCCTTGCCTTTCTCCAGGCCTCCCACATCCCTTTGCCATCACGGTGTTCGAAGACAGCCTGTACTGGACAGACTGGCACACCAAGAGCATCAACAGTGCTAACAAATTTACCGGGAAGAACCAGGAAATCATTCGCAACAAGCTTCACTTCCCCATGGACATTCACACCTTGCACCCCCAGCGCCAGCCTGCAGGTAAAAATCTGCCCATCAGTGAGCAGAAGTGTCCTGGTGCCTCTGAGAACCTTCCTAGCATCTGTCACAGTTGCCAATCGCCCTCACGCACGGGCTCACGGCTCCCTCTGCTGGACATTTGGGATGGTACACTTCTGCCTGTTGCCTTCTAATTCACACAAGCATTTACAGGACATGTTCCCTGTGTCCAGTATTCATTGCGCCAGCAGCTGGGGTAGATTCAAAAAAGTAATAAAATATAGTTCTCCTTTCAGGGAGCTCACATCCTAGCCAAACCTCTGCTCTCTAATGATGGGGACACCTTTTATTTATTTATTTATTTATTTTGGAGAGATTTTCACTGTAGGGCGCGTGCGCTCGCCACACAGACAGAGAGAGACATAGAGACAGAAAGCGAGAAATCACCCCCCAGGGGGGATGGTCACG